TCTACATTCGTTATCTGGGATTACTAAGAGGGTGCGTGGAGTTGGATAACTCTAGGTAGGCTGACTGGTGCACTCACTCTGCGAGACACACTCCAGATAGAGCCGCTCCACACACAAACACGCTCAAATAAAGTGAGTCACTCTCGGGATAAATATTTACAGGCTCGGTTTTATTTGAACGCAGGGAGAGAACTGGAGGCGCAGATCTGGAGATTATAAAATGTTTATGTCAGAAAAATGCCTTGGTGATTGTGCACTGGACAATGATCCTGTTTAACAGCTCTAGAAGTGACAGAGATGCAGGGAGTAATCTGCACCTGGCCTTTCTGCTAGTGCTTTTTGTAGACTTGTTATGAGCCTTTCACACACATCTAAGTATCTGTATATGTTTAAAATGTCAAGCTAGATTACATTTCTTTGTCATGAGGGTTAGTTAAAAACATCTCAGGGATTATTGCCAATTTTTATCTGCCAATATATCAATATTGTAAATTGGTGAACTGGTGATTCTGTTTAACAGTGAGCTTGTTATTAAAACATTTTTGCTGCATCTGTACACACACACTTGAGAAAACTGACTTTGTAGAATATATTTCAGCCCTGTAGTCAGTCTGTCGTTTGATGGCAAAAAAATGTGTTTATCACTTCATTATGGCATTTTTCTTGCCTGCGAGATCAGAGCAAGTCTTTCACTTAAAAGTCATTTTCCCTGAGCAAATATTCCTCTTCGTGTTTCAAAAGGAGCTGATGAGTCAGGGTCAGATTAACTGTAAGAGCCTCCTTTCTACCTGCCAGCTCATGCACCGTGGCATGATAAATACGACTCATTAATCAACCCTGACAGGTCTCCTGAATTCATTTGTTACGACAAACACTATGGAGCCGAGTCACTGACTTATACATTTATTTTAGACAAGTGTCTCGAACCCAAACTTTAGCAGCAGATAAAGAGTTTCGACTCTACCACCCTGAGATTATGTGAAACAGTACGGGGGATTGGTGACGTCAAGTCTTAGTCACAAAAGACAACACAACAAGATAATTGGGGAAGTTATGCTCAACTGACAATGAGTAGGACGTTTCTTTAATGACAAGAGAGACTTTTCTGAGACAGACCATTAAGACTGAATAGGTTTATAAAATGTTATGATGCTGACGCTGAGTAACAGAGCAACTTAGACAAAGGCTCCTTTGAAAAACGTTACCTCAGGCTAAGACGATCCTACAATGAGCACCGCTGAAGCTTTACAATAAAATCAATTTTAAAAGCTGAATTAATAGTCCTCTATCAAGAAAATGGAATCTTACAAGAAGGGTGTGATTCTGTAGAAACAAGAGAGGCGTTTTATAAATATTATGTGCCAGGTCAGCGCCATGAGCATGAGAATAACTGGGTCTGGTTGTGCTTTTTTATGTTTTTCAGTTCAAGCAAGTTCATCACTTTTAGTTTTTATGTTGTTTTTATGCAAGCCTGACACACATGACCACACATGAGACCTCATAACCCAGAACTATTATGTACATATGATTTAACAATCACTACTCCTGAATAAAAGACTGAAGATGCTAAGAATGCAAATGCTGGCTGAGAAATAGAAAGACTACCAGTAGCTTCTGACCTCTAGCTATGCCCTCTGTGAATATTTCACGACCAGTGCTCATTTTTGACGAGTGAATCTGTCAGCGGTGGAGACAGCTTCAGACAGTTGAATCTTTTAACAGAGGAAACCCTCTGACTGGGTTTCAGCAGCACATCGGTGGCTTGGTGCAAAACAAGCGCTAACAGGAAGCTGCCAGGACGCTCAGAAACCAGGGAGGAAGAAGGGGAAGAGATGGCAGGGGCATCAAGGGTATGGTGCTGCTGCCATTAATCTCAAGTTCCTGCATGCGCACAAAGCTGGAGGGCAGGAGCACTGCTGACACAGTGATGCCTTCAGTCAGAGAGAACTTCAAACACAGACAGCCCAATGTAGAGTTTTACTGTCACCAAGACAAAAATGTAACCCTATAAGGCAATAAAAAAACTGTTTACCATAGGGTTCACTAAGCTAAATGTATCTAACGTCTCTAAACAGTGCCATGAGTAATTAGCAGGTTATTGTAATCCTACACAGGTGTAATAAGCCAGCACATGTTCCTTTCTGTGTGTGACTGCCAGACTACCATGTGTGGTTATCTAGGGCCCATTGAAATTAGGTTACTGAACATATGCAACACATTTCCATGGCAACAGGAGTGGGGGAATCTGGATGCATGTCAGTTTCAGTGTCAATAGGCTATTTTATTTTGCAGCGCCCATCCTGCGTTGTCTCCAAGAAAGCCACGCTGTGAGACAAAGCCTGCATGCCAAATCTATTCTGCATGCGTGCGGACTGTCCTGGCGCGGCCCTGTCTTTGCCAGACAGGCGTTAGCAGGGGAACGCGCTGAAATCATTCAGACATAAACACGGCCAGTGACCATGCTGGTTGAATCCAAGTGGACCCAGTTTAATCCAATTAAAGGGAGGAGAGCCAGTGGAATGGAGCTGGAATAAACAGCGTCATCCATCACACTGGGACAGTAGAGACACTGGGATTGACTCTGGGGAGAGCAGACTCTGACTTTAAAGGTTCAAGACTCCCAAGGCAATGTGTAATGTAACACACTGGAAGTGTGGGACCGAGATGAGATACAGCACAAACAATAATACCATTGGGATAAAACAGTGTTGTGCTGCTATTAATTAAAAAAGAGAAGAGCGAGATTCCACAGTTGCTTCCACAAATATTGCTGGTCAAACAACTACACCTCTGCAGCAGAAATGTGTCTGCTGAGGGTGTTTTTTTTTTTTATCATGAGGGAATCATCACACTGACAGTACTGACTCAGAGCACACAAACGCTTCCCAAAGTCAATGGGTCACTGCGGGATGAAAACAAATTGGAAATAGCCAAGAACAAGGGTGTTCACATGGTCTCAGAAAAAGTTGTAGAATAAACTGTATGCAAATGACTGAAGTAAAGCTGGGCTCATAGTGTTCTGTTGTTTCTATTTTTCATGCTCTGTCACAGCTCAGCAAAGCTTGCCCAACGTTGTTAGGCTCACGCAGCAGTGTGTCTAAGTGCATACAACTGTGAGTGCGTTCACGAAAGAGAGGGGGAGTGGGGGTAGATAAGAGAGCATGTTCAGAGTGCTGCTGCGTAGTCTTTCTAAAACGTTTTTCGTCAGATCATGTGTGTGTGCGTCCCTCTCTGCCTGGCAGCATCAAACAGAGACGGTGCGTGAGTTGTCTTTGTGCATGTTTGCCTTTGTTTATGTGCGTAGCTGACTGAGGGTGTAGTCTGATTGGTGAGTGATGGAGATAGAGGCTTGTTGCTACAGGAGGCACAAACACAAAAGAGGAATCTGTTGAATAAAAGACAAGTTATGACACAAAACTACACCAACAGTATGAGACACACTTGAGTTTCATTCATGCGTAGAGGTATGGTTGATGGAACCATGTTTCAGCATGAGCTTAACTTGGCCCTGTCTATAGTTTAGAAGTCTTATAAGACTAAACAGAGGAAGCCATGTCAGCTTTAGCTGTTAAACATAGAGCAACTGCAAGGAAAGCATTGACAGCAGTGGGCAGGAATCAAGAAAGATGAAAGCCCAACTGGAGACCGATGCTGAATAAATAATGGCATCTATTGTGGGGAAATGTGATCGGTCTCTCTGAAAATCAATAACTAACAACCAGACCATGATGCCCTGAGTGACTCAGCAACAACTTCAATACACTAAGCGGTCGATATCAACCTGTTATTGTTCCGGAGACATGACCCAAAGAGCGGAAGAAAAACTGGAGACACTTCTAAACAAGTTTTTGTGAGGGCGGCTGAGAAGATAATCTTTCAGAAGAAAAAGTCAGTCAATGCTGCCAGTCGAGCTCCATATTCAAACTGAGCTTCTTGCATACTGCTGATGGGCATTTCACTATGATGACAGTACAATGATTGGGGAAAATGTATTTTTTGCAGCACAGTCATTCTAGATATAGTAACTCAATACATTTCTGGCACTCTGTCAATACTGAACAAAACAAAAAGCACCTCTCTTCCACCAACACTTTGCCCTGTTGGACATAAATCTTGCTCAGTTACACGGTTGCTGTTGCCTAGAAAACACTTTGTTCTTGGAGAAACTCTAAATAGATGATATAGTCTGAAACCCCTCACCAATTTCAGACAATCAAACTAAGCCGCCTCAAGTTGCTGTTACGTTTTCTGTGGGTAGAAAATAGATGTGAGTTGCCTGGATAAAACAAAACCACTGTGCTGCATCACTTAACAAGACTCTTAAGAGAATGCATCCACTCTGTTTTTAATCATTTTCAAAATGAACACAAGTGAATCAAAGCGCCTCATGAAGTCTGATTAAAAGCATAACAGAAGAACTGATATTCTAATTACCCTTGGGCTGCTTTTCATTGGGCTCACAGAGGTCAGGTCAATCTATCTGTCCAGGCAATCCACTCAGCGCTGCACAGCACTAAAATGTAGCACATACTGTGCAGCTCCACTGGCAGGAACCAATAGGGTGGGATTTTGGTTTGCAAATCCAGCTTAGCAAGATTTTGGGTGCATCATAGAAAAAACATCAAAATGTGGGCCTTGATTAGATAAGCTTTGATGAGACAGTGGATTGGATCCATAGCTGTGACCTTACTGAATATTCAGTGAACGTTTCTAAAAGTCTGTGAAACAGAAAGTGGGAAGTTTCTCAAATGAACAACAGTGATTAACAGTGTCCTGTAATGCACATCACCTAAACACTGAAGCCAATGACAACATCAGCACATGATCCTAAAATAATGCCAGTTGTACCCTAACGCTCACTGCAATTCTGTGTAATACAACCCCACTGCTCATTCCCCCTGTGACTCAACCAGTCAAACCAGGCCACTCCTGCCTCAGTTGCCCCCAATGGACAGAGACGTGTTGGCTGGCACCCAGCTGCTAACAGGGCAGGCTCCTACCTGCGCTCCCGATGAGGCAGTGGGTGCTGCTGCTGACGTGTGATGAAGGTGGTGCCCCACACCGGGCTGCTGTGGCTGTTCCTGAGCCAGCCCACAGGGGGTGACGACGGGTAGGGGGTGCTGCGGAAGCCATGGTCCGACTCAGTCTCCGCCGTGAGGGATGAGGCTGAGCTCCCCATCGGCACAGCGATTGGAAATTAGTCTGATGAATAGATCTGCTTGTTTCGTTGCCCCTAGGGCACAAAAGGTTGACAACGTTCCACAGTTGTTTCCAGTGTGAGACACTGATAAGGAAGATACTAAAGGGGTTGTTTGGTCTACACCAGCGAGACTAATCATGTGTTTCTATTTGCCGCAAACTTCCTGTTAGCAAATTTCCCCCTGAACTCTGAGGGTGTTAGAGTAAAAGCAAATAAAACCCATCGCAACAGGAAATCAAAGATGAGGGTACTCAATAAAATTAGAGTTACTTGCAGGTAGCCAAGTGTGCAGAGCAGGGTGGATTTCCTACAGTGCACGGAGGAAGACGGTCTCAATTAAAAAAGTAATTTCATGTGTCGAGGACTGAATCCACTTCAGCGGTTGGTCTCAGAGAGGAGAAAATACAGTTTTGTCACAGCAAAGGCTCATAATTCTGTCTCTTGTCGACGCTAAGCCTGTACCACTCTGCAACACATCTTCTACAGTGCCACTCATAATTCCTCCCGCGTTGCCTCCGACACATGTCCCCAGTCTGTGTGCTCTCATGCCTGGTTCCTTTATCCTTTGCACATGCTCAGAAGCTCAACAAAAGCAGGGGATGGTGCACACATAAGAACACTGTGTGTGTCCAACGTCTTTCAGCATCTCAGCAGTCAAACAGTTCACCTGGGGAAAACTCAAGGTTTAAGAAACAAGGGGCTGGGGGGCATCCAGGAAATCCCAGTTACATCAAGGTCCATAAACACAGCTGATCCAGATCAATAGAGGCATGGAACTAGCAGTCACACAAAATATATTCACAGAGTTATTTACGATGTGGGCAAAGGAGAAAAATCAATGCACTGCATTTCCTTGGGAGGGTGTTGGCAAACCTACAAGTATGCTAATGTCCAAGTCTCATCTTTCAGACATCCAGTCCGACTAACAGCTGCTGTGGAGGTTTACCAGTAAAACAGCCCAGCTGCATTTCTCCCACTGGATAGAAGAAAAAAATCATGTTTGAAAAACCCTTGCGATGAGGCCACTTCTGGTGTTTGCAGAATTTCGGATTTCAACTCACATGAACTCCAGAAGTGACGCTGGAGAAACTGTAGATACAAGTGGAGCTCTAAAAAGGAGCTACACTCTCTAAACTTAGACTGTTGCCACAACATCAAAATGTTTACAGCTCATCTTCAAGGTCCGTGCAACATCCGACAGAATACCCGAGAGGAATGTCCCTTTTCGCGCTGCTCTGCCAAAAGCAAGGACGAGGAGATGATCCCAGTTTCCGCTGTGTGAGAGACGCAGCTTAATTTCTGTCTGATCCCGACGAACAGTCAATCGAGTTCATCAACTTGCGCTTGGATCAATGTGGACTCGAGAGCCTGTCACAGCAAGTCTGCGCAGGCGATGGAGACAAGTATCATTCCTGCGAGTGGAGAGAGGGAACATTTGCAAGCACTTTGACGGGTGTGGATAGCTTGTAAGAAACCCTGAGGCTGAAGTCTGCGCAGCAACATCCAGTGGTTTGTTTTACATTTAGTATCATCTGATTATCATGGAACCAACGCATAGATCACATGGGTTTAAAACTATACTAAGGCTTTGAAGGTTCTGCAAATGTTACATGCGTACTCATCACAGAGAACAGATGCGCATGTGTGCTTTAAATTTCGCTTGTGAACAGCACGTATCTCGGATAAAAAAGCTGGCTTGTGTCCGTTTCCACACAGAGGCCAGGGGGAGCACCGTGCAAGAAGGCGACATGCAGGTTGAGGAAACGTGGAAATAGCCGAGGAGGTCTAATCCAGGAGAGGCAGCACTCAATCGCGGATTTCACCATCTTCCGCCGGCTTCATGTCGTGTTCCCAGCGTTTTGTGCTGTATGTGTTGAGCCTGGTTGTCTTACACGAGGAGACATCCTCGCCCCAGTCCCGTTGTCGCCTCGGATATGAGTCCGCTCTCCGTGTCAGAACTGCTCCATCCCGGTGCGCGCACTGATAACTCGTTCCATCCCGGGCGCGTTATGCTCCCGATATGTTCTCTAATTCTCCCATTTCCCCCCCGTGATATGTTCTCCTGGATGAGGGGAGGGGGGCTTTCATTCGTCCTCGCTGGTAGCCTGAGCGCAGTGGACGGGGGATGCAATCTCCTCCTAACAGCGGATTACTGGAGTGTCAGCAGAGCGCATGCGCACTGGCCCTGGCGAGAAGAGGAGAGCTGGGTTTCTGCCTCGCAAGAGTCCGAGAGGAGTGGTGGAGGTCTTACTCATTAATGAGAATGGTATCCCGGGGTAATGAGTAGCAGTGCATGTCAGAAACAGGTCGGACAGGATGAGGGGGATTCAGTGTTGGGAATCAAACCAGTTCTCATGTCACACTCTTATCTAATAGCTGACATGTCCTCGTGTTTATCTGCTGGTTCCCTGATAAGAGCCACTGCCAGAGGAGGCAGTGAAGGGTTAAGCAGAAGACAGTGGTGACTGCAACACTCATCATTGCTCAACTGTCCCTGCCCATTACTGAGATTAGCCTTCAAACTTCCCCCTTTCCACTCTCTTCCACTTCATATCACTTTGCTGACCTCATTCCTGATCTCCTCCCACTGACTTTGCACTGTTCACCCAAAAAACTATATGTGCCGAAAATTATATCAAGACGAAGATTTTCACATCAGTCGACATCGATAAATGTCAAATTATTATTTCTTTAGTTTTAAATATTCATTGCGGAGAATGACACATAAATTTGAGGTAGATCACTTATGTGTTGTACCTCCTCACCATGCTTGTACAATGCATAAACATAATGTCAGCATACTGTACACTGAACCTTTGTTGTATCGCTATTGATTAAATTATATTGTGATAATTACTGAAATAGGTTCATTGAACAGTATAACAGCATAAAGCAACTAAAACTCATATTGACTGTGTATTTCTCCTCTGAATCCTTTGTTGTTTAGAAATCACTGGGTTGTCTTTTCACCACTAACAC